TAATGTATCATTTAAAGCTTGTGTTTCCTTATTTATTTTCATTTTGGATGATCTGTCCATCGGTGAAACTGGGGTGTTAAAGTCCCCTACTATGATTGTGTTACTGTCAATTTCCCCTTTTATGGCTGTTTGCATTTGCCTTATGTATCAAGCTGCTCCTATGTTGGGTGCATAAATATTTACAATTGTTATATCTTCTTGGATTGATCCCTTGACCATTATGTAGTGTTCTTCTTTGTCTCTTGTAATAGTCTTTATTTTAAAGTCTATTTTGTCTGATATGAGAATTGCTACTCCAGCTTTCTTTTGATTTTCATTTGCATGGAATATCTTTTTCCATCCCCTCACTTTCAGTCTGTATGTGTCCCTAGGTCTGACGTGGGTTCTCTTGTAGATAGCATATATATGGGTCTTGTTTTTGTATCCATTCAGCCAGTCTATGTATTTTGGTTGGAGCATTTAATCCATTTACGTTTAAGGTAGTTATCGACATGTATGTTCCTATTACCATTTTAATTGTTTTAGGTTTATTATTGTAGGTCTTTTCCTTCTCTTGTGTTTCCTGCCTAGAGAAGTTCCTTTAGCATTTGTTGTAAAGCTGGTTTGGTGGTGCTGAGTTCTCCTAGCTTTTGCTTGTCTGTAAAGTTTTTAATTTCTCTGTCGAATCTGAAAGAGATCCTTGCTGGGTGGAGTAATCTTGGTTGTAGCTTTTTCCCTTTCATCACTTTAAATATGTCCTGCCACATGCTTCTGGCTTGCAGAGTTTCTGCTGAGAAATCAGCTGTTAACCTTATGGGGATTCCGTTGTATGTTATTTGTTGCTTTTCCCTTACTGGTTTTAATATTTTTTCTTTGTGTTTAATTTTTGATAGTTTAATCAAGATGAGTCTTGGCATGTTTCTCCTTGGATTTATCCTGTATGGGACTCTCTGGGCTTCCTGGACTTGACTGGCTATTTCCTTTCCCATATTAGGGAAGTTTTCAACTATAATCTCTTCAAATATTTTCTCAGTCCCTTTCTTTTTCTCTTCTTCTTCGGGGACCCCTATAATTCGAATGTTGGTGCATTTAATGTTGTCCCAGAGGTCTCTGAGACTGTCCTCAATTCTTTTCATTCTTTTTTCTTTATTCTGTTCTGCAGTAGTTATTTCCACAATTCTTTCTTCCAGGTCACTTATCCGTTCTTCTGCCACCTATCAGTTATTCTGCTATTGCTTCTTTCTAGAGAATTTTTAATTTCACTTTTTGTGTTGTTCATCATTGTTTCTTTGCTCTTTAGTTCTTCTAGGTTCTTGTTAAATGTTCCTTGTATTTTCTCCATTCTATTTCCTAGATTTTGGATTATCTTTACTATCATTACTCTGAATACTTTTTCAGGTAGGCTGCCTATTTCCTCTTCATTTGTTAGGACTGGCGGGTTTTTATCTTGCGCCTTCAACTGCTGTGTGTTTTCCTGTCTTCTCATGTTGCTTTGAATTCATAGTTTTGAATTCAATTCCATCCCTTACCAGTGTGTGATCTTGGGCAAGTTACTTAACCTTCTGATCTAGACTGTAAATATCAAAAAGGGAGTAACCATTTGTTTACTTTTAATTTTCAGGCATAGTGCATGGTATACAGAAGGCATCCAATAAATTATCGAAGAAATGAACAGACTAAAGGCACCTAGCACAAGTCAGATGTTTAATAAGTATGAGGATCCTCTGCCTCTTTCTTCTCAGTCCACTTTTTAACTTTTAATTTTGAAATAATTGTAGACCCACAAGGAGATGCAAAAATAGTGTGGGGATGTCCCGTGTACCCATCATCCAGCAACCTGCAATGGTGACATTTTACACACCTATAGTGCATTACTGACTGACTGGCACATAGTCTGACCAGTTTCTGCACACACTCACTCTTTTTGTAATATTTGTGTATGTATTGATTTGTATAATCACTGACACATCAAGACACAGAGCTGCCCATCACCACAAAGCAGCTGTCTAGCGCTGCCCCTTTATAATCACACCCTTCCTCCCCTTTCCAAGCCCCTGGCAACCACTTAGCTCTTCTCCATCTCCATAATTTTGTCAATTTGAGAATGTTGAGAATAAATGAAATCATACAGTATCTAACCTTTCAAGATTGGCTTTTTTCACTCAGCATAATAGCCTCATGATACTTCCCAGTGGTTGCATTTATTCGTTCCTTTTTCTTGCCAGGTAGTGTTCCGTGGAATGGATGTACCTCAGTTTGTTCAACCTTCACCTATTGAAGGACACTTGGGTCGTTTCCAGTTTGGGGCTACTACAAATAAAGCATCTTTGAACATTTGCATATAGGACATTTTATGTGAGCATGTGCTGTGAACATTTTATGTGAGAATGTTTTCGTTTCTCTGAAATAAATTCCCGAGATTGAGATTCATGGGTCATACAGCAAGTATATATTTAACATTTTAAGAAATTGCCAGACAGATTTCCAGAATGGCTGTTACCATTTCACATGCTCTCCAAGAGCATATGCAAGACCCAGTATCTCCACATCCTTGCCAGCATTTGTTTTATCGGTATTTTTATCAGCATTTTTTATTTTAGCCATTCTGTGTAGTGGTATCTCATTGTGGTTTTAATTTGCGTTTCCCTAAAAACTAGTGATGGTGAACATCTTTTCATGTGTTTATTTGCCACCTGTGTATTAGTAAAGTGTCCAAGTCCTTTGTTCATTTTCTCATTGGATTATTTGTTGCCTTACTGTTGAGTTTAGAGTTCTTTATTCTGAAAACAAGTCTTTTGTCAGGTAGTTTGCAAATATTTTCTCCCAAATGGTACTTGTCATTTCATCTTTTTCACCGTCTTCTACAGCAAAAGTTTTTAATTTTAATGAAGTCTAATTAGTCTAGTCTTTCCTTTTATGGATAGTGCTTTTGGTGCTGTGTCTAAGACCTCTTCTCCTAACTTTAGATCACAAAGCTTTTCTCCTACGTTCTCCTCTAAAAGTTTCATGGTTTTATAGTTTACATTTAAATCTATGATCCATTTTCAGTTTATTTCTGTATAAGGTGTGAGGTGTAGGTCAAGTTTCATGTTCTTGGCTATTGATGTCCTGTCCATTTGTTTCTGCCAAGTGAGATAATAGCGCCAGGTTCTACAGGAGCCACGGAAGTAAGATACTACCCAGAGGGGCAGGCTGTCTAAACAGCCCCTTGTAAAATTCATCGCCCTCCCCGGGTTACCTAGAATGAGCTCGATGCTACAGAAACCAAACATTTCACCACTGAGTCTTCCTTCTGCAGTCATACTGTGCAACCAAATGCTGTCCATGTTGGGTCCCTGAAGAGTCTCCTGCGGCCCCTTGCACCACCACCTAGAGTGAATTTTTGTTTGAAACAAGAAATGAGCATTGATCATTTCTGTTGCACATGATAAAATACCACTTAAGGGTAGGAAAGGGTGTGTTTTATGGAAACATGGTCCCAGAGGTAGAAAGGGCCCAAAGCAGGAATCCCTTCTATAGCATCTCTGCAAAGAAGGACAATATTTCATTCATCAAATATATTCTGAGCAGCTACTATGTGTCAGGAACTAGGCAATGAAGATGCAGAGTGAAAAAAACAGACATGGTCCCTGCCCTCTACTGGGGAAGGGGGTGGAGTACAGGTAATTACATACACACACACACACACACACACACACACTACTGTATGCCAAAGGCTAGCAACAGAATGCTAAGGCAATATACGGCAGGGATATCTAACCCAGACTTGGGAAGCCTGGCAATGCTTCCTGGAAGATGAGACACTGAACCTGAGGCCTAGTAGATGAATTGCAGAGAGCTGGGAGGAGTGGAGTGGGTGGGATAGGAATGGTAATAAGAAAGAAGACGCTTCCAGGTGAGGGGGAACAGCATGTGCAAAGGCCCAGAGGTAGGAGTGAGTGTGGTGGAGCAGGGATCTAAGCCTCCAGTACTGCTGGTGTGTAAGATGCAGGGGAAAGAACAAGGGATGAGGCTGCCCAGGTCAGACCATGAAGAGCCTTGAAAGTTCAGCCATTTCATGAGGACACCAGGAATCCACTGCAGGGCTCTATGCAAGAGCGTAACAGATGCACATTTGCATTTTAGAAATCTCACTCTGGCAGCATGGAGGCAGGTTGTTGGGAATCTAGGCGGCTGGCGGGGGCGCTGGTTAGGAGACTGTTGCAAGAGCTGATGGAACAAAATGGGGGCAGTGGAGAAGGGTTGATGCATTTACACCAGAGTAGGAGCCAAGGTTTAAGGAGAGAAGATGCAGTTTTAAAGATCTCTTTGAGGGCTTCCCTGGTGGTGCAGTGGTTGAGAGTCCGTCTGCCGATGCAGGGGACACGGGTTCGTGCCCCGGTCTGGGAAGATCCCACATGCCGCGGAGCGGCTGGGCCTGTGAGCCATGGCTGCTGAGCCTGCACGTCCGGAGCCTGTGCTCCGCAATGGGAGAGACCACAACAGTGAGAGGCCTACGTAACGCAAAAAAAAAAAAAAAGATCTCTTTGAGAAATGGAGGGATAAGTTGTGCAGAGAAACAGAGGTGAGTTGAGGGATCAGTGAGGATGGAGCCTTTGCTTGGACACCCCTACTGAGGAAGACCTGGCTTATTCCTTCCCCTTTGTGATCCTCCCATGTTTGATAGGTCTGCCTGAGCAGAACCCTGCTACCCTGTAACTTCCCTGCCTTGACCCAACCTTGGCCCTGAGGGACCACCCTGAACGAGTCCACCTGTGCTGGTCATGGCAGCCCTTTGACTGTTTTAAAGACATGGGTCACATTCTCTCAAGCTTTCTTTCCTCCAATTTATTCACTTCCCCCTTGGCATGGGTTCCTCTTCCGGGTAGTCCCTCCACTCCCCACCTTTAATTTAATCACGTGATGCCCAAACTCTGGATAGAGTCTGATCAGCCAGAAAACAATAAGCATCCCCTCTGGAGCCTGACATTTCTACCTGTAGCATCCCCACACCCCTCTGCCCTTGTCAGGAAGCTGCCTCCCTTCCCTGAACATTTGAGGCAACACCTCCCAGTGGGATCTGTGGTAGCCTGGGCACTGGGGACAGGCCTGGGCCCAGAGCCTCAGCTGGGGAAACAGGTTTGACGAGGCCCTCGCTGCCTCACTTCCGATAGCAAACAAGCCATGCCTGGGAGGACACGACCCAGCCTCACCAGCCAATGGATCTCCTGCCTTTTCTCCTCTGGTGAGAATCAGGGCACCAGCGACTATTCACTGACCGCCGTTGGGTGTGTGGCTTGGTGAGGAAAATAGAGCTGGGACATTGACTCCGTCTTCAGGGACTATGCAGCCTCGTTGGGAGAGAGGATATAGAACGGGTGGTCAGAGACGGGCCTTTACAGAGGAGACAGGGCCACAGCTAGACCTCGAAGGATGGGGGAGTATCAGCTGGTGAGAAGAATAAGGCGATGCAGTAGGACGGCACGGAAAGACACAGAGGTCAGAGGACTGAAGGTGGACCCAGTGAAGGAAAAGAAGACACTCTGGCCAGAGCAGAGACTCTCTATGCGTGAACATTGAGAGAAAATGCTGTAAAGGTAGGTTGGAACCATAGCGGGCTAGACTCTCCTCTAGGTAGGGAGCTGCCGAGGGCTCTTGAACCAAAGAAGGAGATGATTAAAGTGGTGAGTGGTTTGGGGTCTGGGTCTGGCAAAGTTAGCGATGAATCCTGCCCTCTGCTGTGGCCCAGGATGCCCAGGGAGGGTAAAACCCTTCCCGGAAGTCATCCAGGGAACCTAGCTGGCACCTGGCTGGCCTAGTTTTAAGTCCCCTTCGGGTGATCTTTCCAATAGCCTTTCCTAGGGGGATAAAGACAGGGACAACAGTGAACTATTCAAATGAGTGACCTGGGAAGTGCTTTGAGCAGCAACAACAAAGGCTGTAATCTGGGAGCAGAACTGGCTACGTCATCCCGTTGGTCTCTCGGTTACAAATTGTTAAGGATTTCAAGATGGCAACATTGAACCAAGCCTGGGGCCCCTCTAAGCACAGAGTCCTGTGCAACTTTAGAGCTTGCACGCTCATGATGCTGGCTCTGTCTGGGGGTCAAGACGAGAGCAGGTTCTTATCCAAAAGCACACAGTGGGCTTGCAGTGGGGCTCCCACACTCAGAAGGCTCACAGTCAGTCATCTCCCTCTCTGTCCTGGACAGGTGACAGCCCAGCAATCCAGCTCAGGCAGCTTATGGCTCTTGGCCACAGGAAAAGAATAGACCAGGGACAGGAAACCTGAGTTCCCATCTTGATTTTGCTTTCAATCTGATGTAAGAATCACTTAACTTCTGGGTCTTGGTTTTATGGCCCATATGAAGTGTTCAGCAGGTATTGTTTCTCTCCCTTTCCATAAAGAAGCCCCAATTGTAGGACCTCTACCGCATGGCCTCTTGCTGGAGTACTTGAAGCAAAACACAGGTTCCAATGATGGGTCTTGAGTTGCAGAAAGAACTCAGTGAAATGCATTTGTATCTTGGAGAAAACTCCAAATACTCTTTTGCACCCCATACCTTCCAACTTCACTAGAAAAGTCATCTTTAGCCATTCTCCGCCAGAGATGTGTTTGAAGAGATTTCAGGTCTATGCTTGGCTTTTCTGCTGACTCTCTGTAGGACTGCAGGACACTGACTTCCTCTCCCTGTGCCTCAGTTTCCGCTCCTGTAAAATGTGAGAATATGATAAGGTTCTTTTCTGCTCTCAGTTCTGCATTTTCTTGAATCTGTGAAGTAACTGGTCCAGCATTGCATGATGTCATCACATGATGTTGGGATGAACTTCTCTGGCTCTGTCATTAGAAAATAAGCTCACTGAGGTCAAGAATGATTGTGATCTGTCTCTGAACCTCCAGTTCCTGGCACAGCAGTTTGCACTCAACTGAGTGTTGAACGAACAGAGACATCAATGGATGGACGAGGTCTCTGGGTCGGGGGTGGGCATCAGAACAAATGAGCCACGAAGTGAAAACAGAGATATGATCAGAAGGTGAGCCCTAAGGGGAAGAAAGGGAACCAGGGCAACATCGTACGGAGGGAGATTGAGTACTGGCTGACCAACATCTTAAATAACAATACAAAGGAAACAGAAACTTTAAGGCTTAAAGAAAAAAAACACTGGATTTCATAATTAGGAGGTCAGTGGTGACTTCTGAGAGAAGCCAGGCTGCCCAAAGTTAAGGAATGGGTGGGTGATGAAGAAGTGTGAACAGCAGACATAAATGAATCAAGAAATTTTGTGGAAGAGAAAGATACGAAGGTCACAAAGCATTTGGGAAAACTGAAACAAGAAGCATCAATCGTTTATTGGTTTGTTTGCTTTGAGAAAAGGAGAACCAAAACATTTGTTAATCCAGAGGAAGGAGACAGGGAGGAAGAGACTGAAGACTTTAGAGAGTGAGAGAGGAGGCCGTTGATGGATTTATGTCCTTGAGGAGTCAGGAGAGAGAGAGAACCAAGGGCACAGCTCTTTCACCCCCACTCTCTGCCACCTGCAAATGTGACAAGTGTATCAGCGGGTGCTCTAGAGGGAAGCCAGACCTCAGAAGGGGGTTGGGCAAGGTGACTTTTAAGGTGTCCTCCCACCAATTCTATGACCACCGTGTCCATCCATCCTTATTGTGCCACGTGGCCCACAAGCATATGATGGCAGACAACGTGAAGAACATCTTTGAAATACAGTCCAGTGCCCACAGCATCCCCTGATCTACCAACAGCCCTGACTGATCAAACAGGAAATGAGCCCTTGGAGACAAACTCCACGTGTTTTGGGCTGTGGCCCAAGGAGGGAGAGTGGCCGAGTAGGAAAAACACCAGATCGGGAGTCTAGAGTCCAGATCCTGTCTCTCCTTATCACTCTCTAAGCGTCCTTGGGTACTCCCCTCTCTGTGAGTCACAGTCTTCCCTGGAGAAACAGGAGTGTGAGATCAGTGACTGGTTTACTTCTATGTTCTCTGACTCGAGTTTCTTTACAGAGTCATCCTGAAAGAGCTGGCACTGTCTCTGAGGTTCTTGGGCAGTTCTGCACTTCGTGTGATCACCACATACAATGGGCAAAACAGGTCCCGTGAGGGTAAAGCAAATAAGTCCTCCCTGGCAATTCACACTCGTGTCACTGCAGAGCTCACAGCACTGGCACCGGCTCCAACAAGAAAACCCACATGCTTGTCAGTGACATCCTGGACCCTCCCATTTGGGCTGTGGCACCAGCATAACCGAATCATATTTGGCGAAGGAAAGATCCCGTCTGGCTTTGTGCTAATGACACTGAAGAAAAAGTCAGTACTCTTTGGGGGACTGAATTCCTAACTGACTTCCAAGTTCTGAGTTCAGAACTAGGTTTGCCCTTTCTTGACAAAGCTCCCCCAGGATTAAAGGGAGCTGATGTATCTTTGTCATCAAACACATCATGACAAATTAGTCTTTCACTAATTCATCCCAAAATGCATTGAGCAACTGCTTTGTCCATTAAAGGTGTGTGAACCGATGGATGGATGGACAGAATGGATGGATGGTGGATGAGTTCACTCACCAGCTGGGCATGTGAGACAGGGTTTTCTCTCTCACAAGTGACAAAAACTTAAATTTAAGTAGCTTAAGAGAGAATAAAAAAAGAAACGCATTGATTTATGTATCTGAAAACTTATCAAGAGTTTGCAAAAGTTCCTCTTTACCTTGCAGCTCTGCTTTCTTCTGTGTTAGCTTCAGTTTTAGATAGTTTTTTCTCCAGTGGCCAGGCTTACCCCCAGCAGCTCCAGGCTTACATTCTTCTAGCTTTGCAACCCCAAAGGAAAGAGTGCCTTGCCTCCAGGAGTGCTAGAAAAAGTCCTCAAGAGGATTTTCACTGGCTCAGCGTGTGTCGTGTGCTCATCCCTGGACAGATCCTGTGGCCAGGAGGGTCCAGTGCTGAGTCTGAGTCCTGGGCATACCCACAAAGTCTAGAGGTGATGTCAGCCCCAAAGAAACCCCACAGACTGAGAGTGAGGATAGAAGAGAAGAGAATGGATCCCCGGCAGGCAAAGTCCTCAGATGCCCTCTCACTGGGTAACTAAATATAAGGCAGTCCCTTTGCCACTTAGAACCTCTCACTTTCCTCCCCGGTCAACCTCAACACACAGGCTTGTGATATGAAGGCCCTTTGAGAAGGTGGGGAGTATTTTTCTCACTGGTCATTTATTAACAACCATCACAGTTCCTCCTCCCTCTTAAAGCTTCCCCCAACATCTTGGCCTCCAGACTCTTCCCTTTTCTGACCTAGGCCACTTAACATTTCGTGTCATCCAATGGGACAACTAATCATTCGGTGTATCTGGAGCAGAAACAGTACCTAGACTTTTGTCTGGCCCAACAAGAAAGAGTGCCGTGAATAAGACCCTCTCTCCCCACACAGGAAACTTACAATCTAGTCAGTGACAAATCTTGCATTGTTCTCTAGTTGCTCTGTGTGGAAGTCTCATCTCCAAAACAGAACTACCGGCTCCGTGTGGGCGAGGCCAGGCCTCACCCTTCTCTCCTGTCACCCACATCCCTCCAGGCTGTCTCACCTTGAGTGGACCAGTCATGGGGCCTTGGAGCCCCCAGCAGTGAAAGTGCTGGAAGGCTGACATGCTAAAGGACACTCATGTTCCCAGCGGTCAGGACAGTCCTCCTCTTTGCCACCTCACACCGCACGCCCTGCTTCCCACGCCACCTCATCCTGGGCCCTCGGTCACCGCATCATAGTCACCCTCACCCCCAGCTTAACAGTGACTTCCGTCTTTGGTTCTGAAGTCACTGGAGCTGTGTGGCCCTGGCTGTCCTTTGCATCCAACCATTTCCAAGCCAAAGGGAGGAAGGATCCTTGTCTAATCTGTATCAGACCATCCAACAGAGTGGCAGCTTCATGATCTGCTCCTGCAGTCAACAGATATGTTCTCAGCATCCACCGCTCTGTGCCCAGAACATGTGCTGGGTTAAGTGGTGAATGGCGGGCAGGGCTCTGTCCTCCAGGAGCTCACACACCAGCAGGAAAGACCACTGGCCCCTCACCCAACCCTGGGAGAGGTTTTCATGCTCCCTAGTGATCCCTCCTATCCATTCATCGGAATGGGGATGAAAGGAACTTGGTACAAGTAGCCAGGTGTCTTGGTCATGGTACAGGGGAGTAGGGAGGAGAGGAATGGAGTGGCCTCATGATGGGTGACTCAAAGCGGTCCTTCTGTGTCATTTGTCAATCAGGTCCCTGGACTAAACCCAAACTCACTCTCCCTCACCTACTGCCCAGTAGGTGTTGGGGTAGCCACTGGCCACATGCTGGGGCATCTTGGCTTTGGCCTTAGCCATTTTTTTTAATTGGGGTATAGTTGTTTTACAATGTTGTATTCGTTTCTACTGTACAGCTAAGTGGAGTTCCTGTGCTATACAGCAGGTTCTCATTAGTTATCTATTTTATATATATTAGTGTATATATGTCAATCCCAATCTCCCAATTCGTCCCACCTCCTTCCCCCTTTCATGTCCATATGTTTGTTCTCTACATCTGTGTCTCTATTTCTGCCTTGCAAACTGATTCACCTGTACCATTTTTCTAGATACCACATATATGTGTTAATATACAATATTCATTTTTCTCTTTCTGACTTACTTCACTCTGTATGACAGTCTCTAGGTCCATCCACGTCTCTACAAATGACCCAATTTCGTTCCTTTTTAGGGCTGAGTAATATTCCATTGTATATATGTGCCACATCTTCTTTATCCATTTGTCTGTCAATGGACATTTAGGTTGCTTCCATGACCTAGCTACTGTAAATAGTGCCGCAGTGAACATTGGGGTGCGTATGTCTTTTTGAATTATGGTTTTCTCTGGGTGTATGCCCTGTAGTGGGATTGCTGGATCATATGGTAATTTTATTTTTAGTTTTTTAAGGAACCTCCATACTGTTCTCCAAAGTGGCTGTATCAATTTACATTACCACCAACAGTGCAAGAGGGTTGGTTCCCTTTTCTCCAAACCCTCACCAGCATTTATCGTTTGTAGATTTTTTGATGATGGCCATTCTGACTGGTGTGAGGTGATACCTCATTGTAGTTTTGACTTGCATTTCTCTAATGATCAGTGATGTTGAGCATCGTTTCATGTGCCTCTTTGGCCTTAGCCATTTGTTTAAGGCAGCCACCAGGACTCTCCTGGGAGGTGCCTGTGCCCTACTACTTACCCCAGTGTGCCCAAGTCTGCAGTGGGTACACTCGGAAAGCCTTGCTTCCCTCACATCTTTCGAATCAGCACAGGCCTGAGTGCTAGAGAGCAGCTCAAAGGACAGCTCATGGACAAGTCTAAAGTGAAATAAAGCAGCCAAACTGAACTGAGCCAAACTGAACGACCCTCTCCTAGGCACACAGGAATTGATTTGTTTTTTAAAGGAGGAATATTTCCTGATCCATCTGCTCTTCACTGAGTATCCCTTGAACTCCCAAAGGTGAGGCTTTCCCTGGCAAATTTCTGCTCTTATCGCCTTTGAACTCATAGGTGAAATTAATCCCGGGATCCCAGTCCCCTTCTCTCTCCCCCCACCTCTTCTTTCTGACATTAAAATCTGTTTCTGCCTTTCATATCCACACAGGAGGGGGCAGAGCTCCACTAATGAATGTTTGAGAAGCCCTTTGAGATCCTGGATGAAAGGCACCTTATAAAATACAATAAAAAATAATAGGAGTAATTACTAGCTGGGCTAATCCCTGTAGGATAATTTGAGAGCTTTCCTCAGGCAGATTCCGAATTCATGCAGAAACACATGGGTTCACGAGGCAAAACTAATTTGAGAGCTCGGGGGCCATTGCTATGCTTCTCCCATTCTAGGATCGTGTACTAGAATCTTTCTGAAACCTGAGGTGCACTGCAGCGGGCCAGAGCTGGAAAGGATCTTTGAGATGATCTGTCTAACCTCTTTGGTGTGCAGATGATGCCGGTGAGGCCCAGAGAGGCGAGGTGACCAGCTCAAAGTTGCACAGCAAGTGTGAGAGCTACAGCTCTAGAGGTCCAGTCTCTGGATACCCCAATTCGGGGGCTCCTGTTACCCCACTCTCAATCAATAACACACCCTTTCCCATCTCTGTATACTGATCACCTTCTCTTGCACAGCAGAGCATTGGAATAAGAGTCAGATAGAGCTGAGTATGAATCCTAGCGTATGAAAGACAATAGCAGACAAGTAAGCCTCAGTTTCCTCATGCATAAAATGGGAATAATGATGCCTTCCTATAGAGGTGCTGTGAGGAGCCAGTGGGAAATGCACACAGGAGCACCTGGCATGGAGCACGTGTTCAGTTAATGCTGCTTGAACGAATGCTCCAAGAATGAGCCTGGCAGTGCCAGGGTTTGACCTACAGTCCTTGTTTTATACAGCTATGTTCAGTCTGTATTTAATGAGCACCTACTATGTGCTGATCTCTATGCTAAGCTCTCCAGGACGCTATCTCATTCAATCATCATCACCATCCCCATGAGGCCAGCAGTGTCAAATCGAGGTTCGGGGAGGTTAGCTAACTTGTGCAAGGCCACACAGCTGAAGAAGAGGCAGGACTTGAACCCGTGCTCCCAGCCACTATGTAACACTGCCTTCCCTTACAAAAAGAGGCATGAACATTGTTGTAACCACAGTGGAGCCCGCAAAGGAGTCTCTGCTGTGATACAGGAAAGGAGTGATGGAGGGGCCGGGAACAGTAGTAGCCTAACATGATCCACTGAAGCACTTTTACCTTCAAGGTTATGAAAGTAACGCTCTTCTCCTTACGTCAGATTATTTATTCTGAGCGCCGCACTGATGCAAGCCACACGATCTCCCTCAGGAAGGGCAGTTAGTAGCTGTAGCTGAATTTGGAATCAAGAAATCTTGGGACTTCCCTGGCGGTCCAGTGGTTCGGAGTCTGTGCTTTCACTGCCGAGGGCTCGGGTTCAATCCTTGGCTGGGGAACTAAGATCCCACAAGCCGTGAGGTGCAGCTAAAAAAGAAAAAACAACAACTAGATTCGGGTCCTGGATCTGCTCCGAAAAAAAAAAAACTAGATTCGGGTCCTGGATCTGCTCCTTAGAAGCCAAGTACCTTAAGCACTCTGCCTTCAGAGTCCCGTGCTCCTGGTCTGTATAACAAGGATAACTCTTCCCACTTTACCCCTCCAAATGGGCTCTTTGGAGTCTCAAGTGGGAATGAACATGGAAGTACTTTGTCAGTTGCAACCTTCTGTACGAATGTAAATCATTGCTGTTACTAGTGATAGTTTTAAGCCTTTCAATGTGATAAAGCAAGTGGCTAGGGTCCCAGGCTGGTGGCGGACTTCAGGAAGACTGACTCAACACAGCTGGCAGGCAGGGGACAATATGCATTACCGGTCTTCGAAGGACAGTTTAGTGCATTCAGAGCTCAGATTATTTGATTGGAAGAGGGCACTTTAGGGGCCCAGCCCTTTGAAATTCAATTGTAAACCTAATGGGTTCCATTTATTTCAGGTTTCATCTTTTTCCCAGATGAGACCCAAGGTCAGAACCTGTTGTTTCACATTCTCTGCTTCTGTATGTGTGGAAGAAACCAGCCCCTGTGAAAGGCCACTCACTGGGTGAGGCCGGCAAAGGAGGAAAGGAGCTGATGCGAGCGTTGTTAATCACTCCCGGGTGATTTCTTCATCGATGAAGACTTTCCCGAATACCACCTAGAAACTAGAATAACCAGGACTGTGCCCTTTTGAACTACCCTCCTCAGGATGGATGGCTCTGAGTCACCCTCTCCAGAGATTTCCAGGGCTGATCAAGACTGTCAGAGCTAAAGGGAACTCCCAAGTTGCCCTCTTCCAGCCTTTGGGCCTCTTGGAGAGACAGCCGTCTGACACCCCAGAGACGGTGTGCTCACTCCCTCATGTTGTTGGACACTCTCCAGCCACCATCTGCCTCCAGGTGATTCTCTCTCACTGCAGATGGGGTCTCCAGCACCACTGGTATCATGTCAACTTCAAGACACCCCTTCCCAAGACTAAATTCCCCATATTAGAGGGCAAACCAAAAGTACAACCAAAAGTGCATGGCTTTAGGCATCAGAAAGAAAGGCCTGAATTCAAACCCTGGATCAATAACTCATCAGCTGTGTGACTTTGGGAAATTTAATTAACCTCTCTGACCTTCAGTGTGCTTATCTTTAAAACAAATAATAATCATCAGTACCTTTCTGGATTGTTGTTAGGATCCAAACTAACATAGAGAACGTGCTTGCACATAGTAGGCATTCAATAAGCAGTAGTCTTTATATGGCAAGACTCATTCATTTTAGAAAACATGTATTGAGGGTTTACTTTGTGCCAGGTGCTCTGCCGGGTGCTGCACACAGGAGAGCAGAAAAGAGGAGTGGAAAGAGAATGGGCTTTGGTGTCAAAGACCTGCGTTCTAATCCAAACTCAACCATTTACCAACCTGGTAACCTTGGACAGTGGACTGACTGAGCCTCCCTGGACCTCCCTTATCTCATCTCCGCACAGGGATGGTGTGGGTGTTAAATGAGATGATGTACATCAAGTGCTGAACCCAGGTCCTCGCTCGGCATGAATGCTGAGTAAGTGGGAGCCGCACTGCAAGATTCAGGGATGCTGAGTACGTGAAGAAGTTAATGCAAAGCCGAGTTCAGGCAGGACAGTGGATATTTTATTATGTAGAAGTTAAAGTAATCTTATTTAATGTTATGGTTCCTGACACTGTTTGGACTGTTTCCTTTGTCTACTTATTTTCCCAGGGAAATAGACTCTTGAATATAGAGGGACAAAGTCCTGTCCCTTTAGCTTTGCCGTGTTGTCTTTGAGAATAGAAGGGGGTCAAGGCTGGGGTGCAGGGCCAGCTCCATCCAGCTTCCATTCAGAGCGGAGAAACTAAGGCAGAAGATCAGTCGTGTAGGCAGGACATCAGGGAGGGGAACGGGGAAGAGGGGGCAGAAAACTCAGTAGGCACAAGGGCTCCCTGGCCCTACAAACACAGGGCAGGGACAGCACTGAGACCTCTGAGCCCATCCCTGGGGGTCATGCCCAGCTCAAGAACTGCTCAGGGCTGGGTCCATCCATCCAGGGCCTCTGTGGAGCTGAGAAAGGCAGCAGCTGACAGAGACATCATACTAATCCTAGTCTTTTTTTTTTTAATATTTTTTTTGATAAGGACCATTTTTAAAGTCTTTATTGAACTTGTTGCAATATTGCTTCTGTTTTGTGTTTTCGTTTTTTGGCCACGGGGCATGTGGAATCTTAGCTCCGCAACCAGGGATGGAACTTGCACCCCCTGCACTGGAAGGCGAAGTCTTAACCACTGGGATGCCAAGGAATTCCCAATCCTAGTCTTTCTTCGTTTGAGCCACTGGACCCGGGAGAAGCCAGGGGGAAGGAAAAGAACAGTTTCATTTTGTCCCTATCCTGGAATATCCACGCAAAGTGCCTGTCCTGCTTCTGTTTCAGGTAATATGGTAAAGGAAAGCCGCGCTTCTCAACCTATGTAAGTCCTCTGGGGTTGTATAAAAATGTAGATTCTGATTCTGTGGGTCTGGGTGGAGCCTAAAACTCTGCATCTCTAAAGAGTTCCCAGGTGATGCTGAGGCTTCCCTGAAACTCTCTGCCTATGAAACATATCAAAATGTTAGAAAAAAAATCTTTAAAAAACATATTTTTAAATCAGTGGAAGAGACTTCAAGGAAGGGGAACCTAAGGCCAGGAGTGAAGCCGGCCCCCAGTTCAAGTGGATGCATGTAAAGAAACGGTCACATTCTCTGGGGGACCCTGCACAGCCTCGTGACCTAGAACTGCTATGCGTAGAACTATGCTAGGAATGGGGGAGGGGTGACACTCGGCATTAATTCTGTACCCACGCAGGCTGGGGAGTCACACTGGAGACCCCTCCACGCAAAGCCAGGATTCAGGAAGGGCTATATCCTGAGGAAAACGGTGAGAGATAAGAACAGCAACCACACAACAAAAGAAAAACAAAAACAAGGAAAAGTGTCTGTGCCAGACTTGATTTGGGGTAGTTGGAGAAAAAAATTGTCCTCTGAGATTTGAGGGCTACTGGCTGACCCTTGCTTGACCAAGCAGGAGTCTGAAATGACATGGGAGTGTGGTCTTAAAACTCCCCTAAATTATCCTTTCAATTTCAAGTGGACCCTGGTCTATTTTATGTCCTGATGCCCAGTGGAAGCAATCACAAGTCCTCCTGCAGGAATGTACCTCAAGCCAACCGTACAGTATTATCATAGGATTCCCCCACAAAAGGGCCTCACAGTCCAAATCTCAACGCATCCAAGGAAACAGACCACCACGCGTGAGAGGCAGCAGAAAACAGCACTCTGTAGAATCAGACCCACAAAGACTTCAGATATTGGGATATAGACGATTGAACAATAATGTTAATATGTTTAAAGAAATAAAAAGAAAATTAAAAGTGAGTAAAGAGTAAGAGACTATAAAAACGACCAGGAAGATTTGAAAAAATAATCAAAGTGCCTACTAATGATGATTACGTTTCCCTAGCTTCCTATATTGAAGGCAACACATTTTCTATTAGAAAAAAGTTTGGAACGTGCCCATCCCCTCCCTGGCCATTAAATGCAGCCTGTTCACACCTGTCCTGTGTCAGCAGCCGGGAATGTTATTGCAAATATTTTTCCAGAATCATCCCTCTGCCTGGCCCATCCTGTCTTGGGCTACTCCTCCTAGCTCTGGGATTCCCCGGCTTCCTTCTCCAGTTCCCAGATCCTACTTCTGGCCCTCCTCCTTATTTAGGTGACACATCCAGACAGTCCCTGGGTCCCCTCCCAACTCCACATGAGCCCCTCTTTCACAGTGGGACCCTCGGTCCCAGTGTGAGGGGTTGCAAACGTGACGGTGCTAGCAGCGGTTATAATCTCACCCCATTCTACCACTACCGCCTGCTTACCTGTTTACAAAGCACCTTTCACGTCCGCCAGAGCACTATCGTTCTCACAAACAGAGAAGAAGGCTCACAGCCATCATCAAGTGTCTAGAAGTCAACAGAACCAGGATACAAAATAGGACTCACTCCTGTGCTCCCATCTTGGCCCCGCGCTCGTTCTGCTGCTTCACAGCTGCCTCCAATTACAGCAATGCTCAGTCACCAACCAGCGCTTTCTGCTCCCTTATTATATCAAACCCTTACCAGCCTTCACTGATTGATCTGAACTGACATTTCCTTAGTCTTACCCAGTTGGTTGGGAAATCTCTGCGTCATAGCCAAATATATATTTATGGGCAAGAAAATGTTAATTTAGGTCCCATCTAGCTGAAGATAATCTGTCTCTGGCTACAATCAGTGGAGACATAAGGACAAGTTGGCTCAAGTAAGAGTCAGTGAAAGCTTAGCAGAGAAGAGGTGTGGGAGTGAGCCAGGGTCCCATGCAGATTCCCTTCCCCGTCTCAAGGCGGTATCTCAAAATCCCACAGAAAAACATTTTATTTTACTCCCAGAAACATGAAAGACCATGATACATGACAGTATGGGTATATACTACAGATACTAGGCAAATTGTGAAATTTCAGTTAGGGTTCTGTTAGTTTTACTCCTGGGAGATTTTCCAGCCAGAAACTGAAAAGGAAATTTATGGGCGCCCTCTTGTGGGCATATCTAGCACTGCAGGGCCACCCCCAGCCACCCCTGCGCGTGGCGGGAGTTGACGGAGGCAGGCGCTGTTCTGTCTGCATTCGCGGAGTCTGCATTCTAGTGGAGCCAGGTGGGGAAAGGAACAAGCAGGTAAATGGGCAAGATCCTTTCTGATAGTGAAAGAACATAAAATAGGGTGACGTGATAGAGAGTGCCTGGGTGGAGGGGGTCTGAGTAGGGGGTACCAGTTGTGTGTTCAGGGAAGGTGGCTAGGGGAGGGGATGGCTGAGCTCAGCCCCCAAGACAAGAAGTTACCGACCACGAGGAGATCAGGGACTAGCGTCCCAGGCAGTGCAAAGGTCTGGAGGCTGAAACGAGCTCAGAGTATCTGAGCACAGAGAAACCAGTGCGGCAGGTGACGCAGAACAAAGAGAAGACCACCAGGCAGTCAGGGCAAAGGAGGAGGCATCTCTGGGAACACCCACCTCATGCAGGTGGGAAAACGGGGTCTGTTGTACGTTTTCAGAACATCTGATTCTCACCCCGGCATCCGCCCCCCCATACCAGGTCCTTCAGCAAATCTAACCAGCTCCGACCGTCCACTTGCCTCCTCTCTACAGCCACCCGCAGCCCATTGTCCTCCTCTCCTACAGCAGCTTCCTAATGGATCTCCTTGCATCCTGCAAGGCATTCTCCCCTCAGCAGAAAAGTGATCCTTTAACTGTAAATGGATAGTAGCCCAACCTTGCTTAGAACTCTTCAATGACTGTGCATTTAGAATAAACCCAACTCAGGCCGTCCTTCTCCCTCCCTCCCTCTGCTCCAGCCATAGTAGACGCTTACCTCTTTTCTGCCACAGGGCCTTTGCACTTGCGGTTCCCCACACCAAGAATGCCCTTCCCCTGGTTCTCGCCAAGTCTGGTTCCTTTTCATCCTCCAGGGCTCAGCTTAAACTTCTCAGAGAAGGCCCCAGGTTACTCCAGATCCCATCACCATGTTGATTTCCTTCATGGTACCCACCACATTGTGTAATTATTTTATTTAATCATTGTTTTCTTGCTTTTTGTCTTTTCCATCTTGGGTTTTGACCTCCACGAGGGTGGAGACTATAACACTTTTATCCACCATGGGATCTTCTGTGCCTCTGAGGTCCTGGCATTCAAGTGATATTTGTGGAATGAACAAACGAGCCCCAGGAGATGGGAGCCCATGAAGACCTTAGTGATAATGTAGCCCAGTAGCAATTTTTATTTTTAGCACAGAACCTCCTTCCAAATGAAATCTTGTACAGAACCTCAGTGCTGAGACAGCAGACGTGAGCCCTGCCCTCCTGGTTCTGTCTTTGTACCACCAAGAGCCCTGAATGAGCTGAGGGTGCTACGGGCTCTTAAGAAATCCCCCCGCCCCGCCCCCGGTGGCTGAGTTGTCCTGAACGGCCCCTCAGCCCGGCATTTCTCTGGCTGTTGCCCCTGCTTTGATCCTTAGAACAGAAGCAGGATGGAACATGGCATTTCGGACTGTCATAAGCAATTTAGGAAGTGCTTAGAGTTAAACGTTTTGGAGGAAATTTACACTCGGAAACATATTTGGGAACCTGATGATTTACTCCTGGGGGGGCAGGTGTGAGCACGGTGGTTTTCACTTCAAAGAGCAGCGAATGATTGTGGGCTCAGGCAAACTGGGAGAATTCCCTGGAAGCCCTGTGTACCCAGGAGAGGGGGCATGGACCACCCGCTTCTGACACCAGGCAGCACAGCCCAGTGGGCCCAAATGGAGCATGAGACAGCAGAGGCTGGGCTCACAGGGCATCTGGGTGCCCTGGGGAAGGGGCCTACGTGTGTTGGACATCTTTTATGCCCCACTTCACATATCCTAGGCTTACCTTTTTACCTTGGCCATTGCTGTGGCAACGAGCGCTACAATAATTACACAGAGTATCTCTTGCTTTCTGATGGCTACTTATTAGCTGTGTGATCTTGGGCAAGTTGCTTAACCTCTCTGTCTCTCACTTTCATCGTCTGGAAAAGGGGGGTATAATGGTACTCCCTTCATATGGCTGTAGTGAAGATTATACGAGTTAATACATGTGAAGTGCTTGTAACAGTGCCTGGCACAGAGTACGTACTACCAAAAAGAGAGACGTTACTATTATTATTATTATTACTACTCTATCTAGGGCTGGGTGCTAGAGGAGAGAGATGGGCCTCCTAACTCCGAGTCTGCTAAGTTGGGGCCTGCCGTGGATGGGAGTTGACTGCAGACCTCGGGCCTATGGTTGGGAGTGGGGCAGGGGAGCACAGGAACTACCATTTCTCGAACGTGTAGAATCTCAGAAAACTCTCAGGGAGAAGACACTCTTGCTATCTCCTTTTTAGAGGTGAGGAAACCATGGCTTAGAGAGGTAGCGAGTGTTGCCCGAGGTCCCGTGGCCAGGAGTGGCTGACCAGGGCTCCAGCCAGACCCGGCGAGCCTGGACCTGGTGCCCATGGACACCGTGGGAGGCTGCAGAGACCAGAGAGGAAAGGATGTGTCCCTATCGTTCCTTGATTGGTAGCGTCCAGAGATGGTGGAGAGGTGCCTCCCAGCCGTCCAAACACAGGGGATTGCCTGTCTGGGCTGAGAGGAAGGTGGGTCCTGAACCCTGCCTGCCTGAAGTCCAACCAGAGGGCCAGGCTCTGGGGCATGAGGGTGGGGCAGAGGGGCTGTTGCAAAGAGCACTGGGCCAGGCAGGAGTCAGGAGCCGGATTTCAGGCCTGGCTTCCTGTGCAAATACCAGCACCAAAAACAGGGCCCTCCAGGCAACGGGTGCTCAATCAATATTTGCTGAACAAACGGATGAATGAACCAATGACTGAATGACGTGGTGCCTGCTCTTGGGGAGTTTCCAACCTGGAGGACAGACTCATGAATGTCATTATAGAGCAGGATGTGCTGTGTCACTTCTATGGGGTGGCTCGCAGGGGCTGCAGGAGTCAGCCAAGGAAAGCGCCCTGTGAGCCAGGATGTATTCCAAGAAGGGAACTTGACTGGGCCTAAAGGATAAAGGCGGATCCGGGTGGCAGAGAAGAGTGGCAAGCACAGAGCAATGGCAGGCCTGCACACACAGTGCCTCTGAGGCAGGAACAGTTCAGCGTTTGAAAGGCATGTGAGAAGGTGGCTCGATACTGCACAGACCTTTATACTCTGGAACATATTCTGCTCCAGCAAGCCCCTCCCCTCCATTCTCCTAAAGCATAACTGCAAACTGCACCGTTATCTGTAAACTGGGCATGCGCCCAGCTCCCCGGTACTGGTTTCCTTTTTTTTTTTTTAAATTATTTATTTATTTTTGGCTGTGTTGGGTCCCCGTTGCTGCACGCGGGCTTTCTCTGGTTGCGGCGAGCGGGGGCTACTCTTTGTTGCGGTGCATGGGGCTTCTCACTGTCGTGGCTTCTCTTGTTGCGGAGCACAGGCTCCAGGCGCGCGGGCTTCAGTAGTTGTGGCACGTGGGCTCAGCAGTTGTGGCTCGTGGGCTCTAGAGCGCAGGCTCAGTAGTTGCGGCGCACGGGCTTAGTTGCTCTGTGGCATGTGGGATCCTCCCAGACCAGGGCTCGAACCCATGTCCCCTGCCTTGGCAGGCGGATTCTTAACCACTGCACCGCCAGGGAAGCCCCCCAGTACTGGTTTTCTTAAGTCTGTCCCCATATCAGGAGCTGGCGTAGTACAGAGAACTGTAGGGCCCCAGCCCCACGGGTGTCCTCCTTCCAGCAACTCCCGCCTCAGGGAGCTGCAGGCCGAAGCTGAACTCAGGCCTGGGCCTGCACCTTTGCCCTCCCCCTCCTCAGCCGCCTGCCCAACCCATCACCACGGCGTTCACACACCCCCTACCCGCCCTGCACTGGCCAAACATGGCAGAGGGAAGCCAGAGAAAACCAGACTGGCAGGCCTCACCAGGTGGCAGCCAGGCCTCACCAGGAATTTGGGGAGGGGAGGGTGACATGGGAGTCACTTGGGCTCCCTGAAGCTAGGAAGCCGTGAAGGGGAACTGCCCTCAGCGGGGACCCAAGGGCCAGGAGTCTCATTCTTTTCTTCTTACCCAGTAGCCCTGTAAGAGTTGAGAGAATTATACCAGCTATAACGACGCTTTATACCTTTAGAGGGCTTTACAGTTTACAGCCCATGTTTGCACAAGGTATCTACTCTAACAGAGATGCAGCAGCAGAAGTGGAAATGGGCTCGCCCTGAAGAGCCAGTTCGGGCCCGGTGCTCTGCCCCAGAGACTCACAGGGGAAGACGTGGCCTGAGCAGCTTCAGACCCTGCTGGCCTTGGGGACTTGAATTTCAGGACCAAGATTCAGAGGCTCTGAAGTGTGGGAAAGGAATGGGATGATAAAGATGATGGCGACGAGGATGAGCGCGTTGCTGGCAATCCTAGGGCTCTTACCATGTGCTGAGCACTCGCTTGTGTTTGAGGACCTCGAAACAACCCCATAAGCGGGCACCACCATCTCACACGTGAAGAAACTGAGGGTCAGTGAGGTTAAGCAACGTAACTGGTAGCAAAGTTAGTAATCCTGTTAGATCCAGGATCTGAGACTGGGAATGACCATGCCAGAGGCTGATTTCATAGACACTGCCCTACACTGGCAGGAATAGCTGTCCTTACTACCATCCATGAATAACCACCCAGAAGTAACATGGGTCCCTTTGCTATCCTACTTCGAATTGGATCGCTTTCCAAACTTCATGGACGTCAGCCCCCTGCTGGCCAGTCAAGGGTGATACGAGCCCCACAATAATCATCGACTGCCACCTAGTGGCGCCATGTGGAATGTCACATTTCTTTTCTTTCCCCTCTTCATCCTATGGGATACTTCAAAAACCAGAAACCAAAATGTTAAAAGCTGACTCTTTGCTTCTCCCTGCTTCGACAGCCTAAGAAGAACTGCAGGTAGATGCTATTCCAATTTTATGAATGATGAAATGAAGACCCAAGGGAGTTAAGCAGCTTCTTAAAGGTAACACAATGAGAATTGTATATAGAAGTTAAGGGTCAGAATCATTTATTGAAAGTGTGACCCTGAGTAAGACATTTTATTATTTGTTTCTGGTGGACACCAAAAAACCCCTCTGCTACAATAACAATTTTTTCTTGGCTTTATTTAATAAAAAGTTCCTCCTTTACCCATCTAGCTCCCATGCTAGCTCTACTGTATTTCAGTTTGGTACTTGAGTGAATCTGTTTCTGGGCTGTCTTTTCTAATCTACTGGTCAATTTGTCTCTCACTAGGTTTGTACCATATAGTCTTAACTGCTACAGCTTCATAATAAAGTGCAGATCCTCTCTCCTTATGCTTCTTTTTCAGAAGCATATTGTCTATTGTTGATACTTCTTTGTGAATTTAAACATCAGTTTATCAAAGCTTCACATAATCCGATTGAGATTTTTATTGGAGTTGCATTGACTATATAATAGAGAAACTGAAGAGAATTCATCTTTATAATGTTAAATTTTCCTATCCATGAACATATGCTATCACTTCATTTACTTAAGTAATCCTTAATGTCATTCAAAAAATTTTTCTTAAGTTTACATTCTTTCAGATTTTTTCCCAATTACAGTTTTGATATTATAAATGGTTCTT